TGGCTTGACGTTAACGAAGAACGATTTTATTTTGAAATTATATGAGTCCATAGATACACTCACTTGTGCGAAATTAAAACTGGAAAATCCACAGGTTGCTGATAGAATGGTAATCGATGAAAGAATTTAAATAGAAAGATATTGAAACTGAAAAGGATGTTTTTTCACCTTACCTGGCTTTACTTCCAAACTCCACCAGTGTTGTCAGATTAAATTATCAGGACTTAAGAACAAAACTATCAGATTCTAAGAAAAATTATCAGAAAAAGTTTCTGTCAGCTTTTTGACTTTTTATCTCTATTTTCATTTTTTGGATTCTAGCTGGAACTCTAGCAATTGTAGCTCCCAATAAAAGCTACAAAAAAGGTTATTTAAGACTCCCAGCCCAAGGGCTTCGTTTTCAAGATAATCCGCCTGAAAACTTTTGCAAAATTTGAGATAGAGTTTCAACTTTGAGCCTCAATATCTTCACAAGTATTTGAGATATAGAATTGAATTTTATTTTATCTTGTAGATAATTTGATTCTGATTCAGAATATATAATTTTACATTATATTTGTTTGAATAATAACCGAGTAATCGGCAATTTTGTGAAAGAATGTCAGATTATTGAAATTTTTTGAGCCCAAAAATTGCAAAAATCATTTTTATTTTTCAACAAGGCTCTAAAACCTAAAAAGGAAAGTTGCGAAAATGCTTTTCTACTAATTTTAACCTCTTCTTTCGATTGGTGATGTCAAACATTGCAAAACCCAAAAATTTAAAAATTCGAACTTTTCCAAAGGGGTGTATGCATGGAAATTTGATTTCCAAATATTTTAAAGGACCATATTTTAGAAACCAGTGAAGTTATTGGCATGAATCTTTTGCTCAATTGTAGCTTTTAATAAGGGCTACGAAAAAGGTTATTTAAGACTCCGAGCCCAAGGGCTTCGTTTTCAAGATAATCCGCCTGAAATCTTTTGCAAAATTTGAGATAGAGTTTCAACTTTGAGCCTCAATATCTTCAGAAGTATTCAAGATATAGAATTGAATCTTATTTTATCTTGAAGATAATTTAATTCTGATTTAGAATATATAATTTTAGAACATATTTGTTAGAATAATAACCGAGTAATCAGCAATTCTGTGAAAGAATGTCAGATTATTGAAATTTTTTGAGCCCAAAAATTGCAAAAATCGTTTTTATTTTTCAACAAGGCTTTAAAACCTAAAAAGGAAAGTTGCGAAAATGCTTTTCTACTAATTTTAACCTCTTCTTTCGATTGGTGATGTCAAGCATTGCAAAACCCAAAAATTTAAAAATTCGAACTTTTCCAAAGGGGTGTATGCATGGAAATTTGATTTCCAAATATTTTAAAGGACCATATTTTAGAAACCAGTGAAGTTATTGGCATGAATCTTTTGCTCAATTGTAGCTTTTAATAAGGGCTACAAAAAAGGTAAGTTAAGACTCCGAACCCAAGGGCTTCGTTTTCAATATAATCCGCCTGAAAACTTTTGCAAAATTTGAGATAGAGTTTCAACTTTGAGCCTCAATATCTTCAGAAGTATTCAAGATATAGAATTGAATCTTATTTTATCTTGAAGATAATTTGATTCTGATTCAGAATATATAATTTTACATTATATTTGTTTGAATAATAACCGAGTAATCGGCAATTTTGTGAAAGAATGTCAGATTATTGAAATTTTTTGAGCCCAAAAATTGCAAAAATCGTTTTTATTTTTCAACAAGGCTTTAAAACCTAAAAAGGAAAGTTGCGAAAATGCTTTTCTACTAATTTTAACCTCTTCTTTCGATTGGTGATGTCAAACATTGCAAAACCCAAAAATTTAAAAATTCGAACTTTTCCAAAGGGGTGTATGCATGGAAATTTGATTTCCAAATATTTTAAAGGACCATATTTTAGAAACCAGTGAAGTTATTGGCATGAATCTTTTGCTCAATTGTAGCTTTTAATAAGGGCTACAAAAATGTAAGTTAAGACTCCGAGCCCAAGGGCTTCGTTTTCAAGATAATCCGCCTGAAAACTTTTGCAAAATTTGAGATAGAGTTTCAACTTTGAGCCTCAATATCTTCACAAGTATTTGAGATATAGAATTGAATTTTATTTTATCTTGTAGATAATTTGATTCTGATTCAGAATATATAATTTTACATTATATTTGTTAGAATAATAACCGAGTAATCAGCAATTCTGTGAAAGAATGTCAGATTATTGAAATTTTTTGAGCCCAAAAATTGCAAAAATCGTTTTTATTTTTCAACAAGGCTTTAAAACCTAAAAAGGAAAGTTGCGAAAATGCTGTTCTACTAATTTTAACCTCTTCTTTCGATTGGTGATGTCAAACATTGCAAAACCCAAAAATTTAAAAATTCGAACTTTTCCAAAGGGGTGTATGCATGGAAATTTCATTTCCAAATAATTTAAAGGACCATATTTTAGAAACCAGTGAAGTTATTGGCATGAATCTTTTGCTCAATTGTAGCTTTTAATAAGGGCTACAAAAAAGGTAAGTTAAGACTCCGAGCCCAAGGGCTTCGTTTTCAAGATAATCCGCCTGAAAACTTTTGCAAAATTTGAGATAGAGTTTCAACTTTGAGCCTCAATATCTTCAGAAGTATTCAAGATATAGAATTGAATCTTATTTTATCTTGAAGATAATTTGATTCTGATTCAGAATATATAATTTTACATTATATTTGTTTGAATAATAACCGAGTAATCGGCAATTTTGTGAAAGAATGTCAGATTATTGAAATTTTTTGAGCCCAAAAATTGCAAAAATCGTTTTTATTTTTCAACAAGGCTTTAAAACCTAAAAAGGAAAGTTGCGAAAATGCTTTTCTACTAATTTTAACCTCTTCTTTCGATTGGTGATGTCAAACATTGCAAAACCCAAAAATTTAAAAATTCGAACTTTTCCAAAGGGGTGTATGCATGGAAATTTGATTTCCAAATATTTTAAAGGACCATATTTTAGAAACCAGTGAAGTTATTGGCATGAATCTTTTGCTCAATTGTAGCTTTTAATAAGGGCTACAAAAAAGGTAAGTTAAGACTCCGAGCCCAAGGGCTTCGTTTTCAAGATAATCCGCCTGAAAACTTTTGCAAAATTTGAGATAGAGTTTCAACTTTGAGCCTCAATATCTTCACAAGTATTTGAGATATAGAATTGAATTTTATTTTATCTTGTAGATAATTTGATTCTGATTCAGAATATATAATTTTACATTATATTTGTTAGAATAATAACCGAGTAATCAGCAATTCTGTGAAAGAATGTCAGATTATTGAAATTTTTTGAGCCCAAAAATTGCAAAAATCGTTTTTATTTTTCAACAAGGCTTTAAAACCTAAAAAGGACAGTTGCGAAAATGCTTTTCTACTAATTTTAACCTCTTCTTTCGATTGGTGATGTCAAACATTGCAAAACCCAAAAATTTAAAAATTCGAACTTTTCCAAAGGGGTGTATGCATGGAAATTTGATTTCCAAATATTTTAAACGACCATATTTTGTAAACCAGTGAAGTTATTGGCATGAATCTTTTGCTCAATTGTAGCTTTTAATAAGGGCTACAAAAAAGGTAATTTAAGACTCCGAGCCCAAGGGCTTCGTTTTCAAGATAATCCGCCTGAAAACTTTTGCAAAATTTGAGATAGAGTTTCAACTTTGAGCCTCAATATCTTCACAAGCATTTAAGATATAGAATTGAATCTTATTTTATCTTGAAGATAATTTAATTCTGATTCAGAATATATAATTTTAGATCATATTTGTTAGAATAATAATCGAGTAATCAGCAATTGTGTGAAAGAATGTCAGATTATTGAAATTTTTTGAGCCCAAAAATTGCAAAAATCGTTTTTATTTTTTAACAAGGCTTTAAAACCCAAAAAGGAAAGTTCCGAAAATGCTTTTCTACTAATTTTAACCTCTTCTTGCGATTGGTGAAGTCAAAAATTACAAAATGCATAAAATTTAAAAATTCGAATTTTTCCAAATGGGTATGCATGGGAATTTGATTTTCAAACGGCCATATTTTGGAAACCAGTAAAGTAATTGGCTTGAAACTTTGGCTCAATCTGGGACTAGTGTTTGGTGTTCGCACCAGTACCGCAAAACACTCAAAACCAACAACCACCTTCAATTTTTTAATAAATTTTTAATTTTTAATTAGAAATTTGAAAAATCTATGTTAAAATTGTAGTTTCAATAAATTATGGTAGATTAGCTTGTCATTATCGATTATTGAATCGTAGTCAAAATTATGGTAGAATTCGATAATTATTGGGTCATTGGCAACACTGAACTCTACTCAGCTGGCCAACTCTTTCAGGAAGTTCAAGTCCAATAAGGACTTTGCCGGTATCCTTTTCAGTGTTTAACGGGCACATTCCTAAAAGCCAAATTTAGCAAAGCCGTATCAACTCTTAGGCATATGGCATATAGCACGTGCAATTCAATAAGGTTGACATCTGAAAACCCAATTTAACCTACAACTATATTATACAGGGCGCGTAGACGAAACTGAACACTTGTATTACCAAATTAACTTATACTTGCAACATTTCCTCAAAACTACACAATTTATTTGTACACGACACAAATATGTTGCACCTTTCATCGGTGGAGGAAAACAAGTCGCCGAATCTCCGTCGTAAATTCCTAAACAATTACAAGATTTCTGTCGGGCTAATTTAAGACAAAGAAGACAAAGTACGCGTCCGTGTTAGTATAGGGACTTTCTAAGCTCAATATATACGAAGTCATGGCGTGGCTTATAGTTCTAGAACCCCCCCAAGCAACTAATGAAAATTTATCTTTTTGAGCGCCAGCAGTTAGAAAAGTTGCGATTAAATTTTCACCCAAACAACAAACAACAACAACACTAGGATTTATTAACGTCTAATGTAATAAGAACAAATCGGGTTCTAGGTAATCTGTTAATGTTTGAAATAAGTTCTGATTAGACTCTATCAAATTTACTTACGATTAGTATAGCAGTACTTCCATAGTCCGGAAACAGTCTTTTTGAACAAATACTCCTTCTCGCCAGTTCCATTATAGTCAGGATTCGGCATACGTTCCATCGTATGTAACCAGCCATTCGTACTGACCGACACTATAACACTAGCCACACTCAGTGCCGACACTAGTGGCACCAAAAACCAAAAAATATCCAGTTTGGTTTTCAACGGTTTTATTATCAATTCCTCCTCGTCCGACTCTGTGGTATTCTGATGGTGCGCCATCTCGTGCCCTGAGATATGATTTATTGTTCAGAGTTAAAGGCCCACAGTCTTTGCATATATGCAAAAAGACCTGACATTTTTTCGTGATTTATTTTTTCATGTTTTTAGGCGTGCTTCGTTGGACGGAGAAATTAAATGAATTGCATCCTCGTCTGATAGAGGAGCATCCATCCTGAAATAAAATAAAAATGTCAGTATGAGCTAGAGTTTTCATATTTTCTATTTCAATTGTTGCTCTTTACGTGAAAATATTACTCCCTTGAAACGTATAAAAATGAAGATGTATTTGAAACGTTAAAGGAAAGAATAAATTTGATCAATACGATTCCCGATGTGTTTACCTACATAGGGACCGGGAACTATGTAAATATTGAAAAAATATCACCAAAATAAGCAAGAATCTTTCGGAAAAAATATTTATGAGTTTAGGAAAATGGAGAAAATATTTGTTAATAGGTTTTAAAATCAAAATAATATTGAATATGCACCTGACAGCACAAAAACACTTTTCCAAAAAATAATAAAAAGCAATTCGCTAAAACAACAAGGCCAATTTATTTAATACAAGCTTAATAAATATCAAAAGCGCACATTCAATATTTACATTTTCAATTTATTTTACACATTTGAAAACATTCAATAAAAATAATTTACTTTTTTTCTTTTTGTTAATTCTGATATTAAATATGTATATTTTGATCCTTCTACTTGGAATTTTAATCCAATTTACTTTAAATAGGGTGGACAAATATCTAAAATATATAAAAACTCTGGTATATGAACATAGGTACGCTATTAATCCAAAAACTCTTAAATGGCTGAGATTTACATCCTTCAGACTAATAGATACATCTCCAATTCCTTGACTCTATAAAATTTGATTATTTGCAACAGCCACTTGTAAGCCAATGTTTCTTTCTTCTGAAAAATTGACCAGCCATTCTTTGTTAGAAGGCATATATGACGAAGCACCAGAATCAACATACCATTTTTGTCTATTTAGTTGATAACCTAATGCGGTAATAAAGACTCCATTCTTGGTTGACTGCGCATACTTTTTATTTTGGTTAGAGAAAGTCCACTGACTTTTGTATTTGTACAATTTTGCTTATAGTGTCCCACAGAATGACATCTCCAACACCAAGGCTTTTTGTCTTTCGCATTATTGACTTTATTTTTCTTAGACCACAAAGCTTTATTTGAATTGTGTTTATCATTCTCCCATGTTGTATCTTGAAGTAACTTGGATTTGATAAAATCATTCGTGATCTGTGCACCAGAGTGTTCAATCGCCATCACCTTAGGATCATAGCTTTCTGGCAATCCTTGAAACATCATAGCTCCCAGTAACTCAGCTTTATTAATGGCGCTAAGTTTCTGCGACACTGTCATAAGCTCATTAACGTAATTATCCATTTTAGAAAAAATGTCTAACCTGATACTACATAAGGTTCGAAGTAATCTGATTCTCCAATTGAGACCTTTATCCTCGTAAGCTGCTTTCAAATTATCCCAAGCATCAACAGCTTTTTCACATTCTCTTATGTGAGGATAACAGCAAGGTTGAACCATCAAACATCTTTTTACTGCTTCTGTTGTCGTATCACCTTCTGGATAGCCATTTATAGAAACCCAAAGATCTTCATGACGAAGTAGCATCTTCATGGCAAACGACCAATCACATTAATTCTCACTTCCTCTTAACTTATCAAAAGAAGGAGCTGAACTGGAACTTTCTGCATAACTTACAGTAGTAGACATAATTGAAATTTGCTCGAAAAAATGTCTATAAAATCCTAACTTTTCAAAAAGAAAATTTTCTTGGCAGTTGGAATCTACTCCAAAATTCTCTTGTTGCAGTTTCAGAGGTTGACGAATCTTCTTGTAATTACATCTGCTGGCCTATCTGGGCCCGTAGCCATTGTAAGCAATAAGTAAACGCAGGACAGATGTAAAGTAGGAAGTAAAAGATTTGTAAAGATTGATGTGTAAACTTAGAACATTTTTACAATGAGAAATATTATATTATTCTAACAAGTACAACTACAAAACTTCAATGTTATAAATAATAAATCATATATCAAAATGTACAGGGAAACTTCTTAGCTGATGTATTAGTGGAAACTTCTCTCTTCAACCAAACTAAATTTTCTCAAATATATTGGTCAACAATAATACAGGCTGATTGCGGACAAAAGTTTTCAAAATAGGTAAATTTTAAACTTTCAAACGAAATCAACCACGAATTTTATCAAAAATAATTAATTTCTGAATAGGCTCCATATATTGTCAATACATTGTTTCATCAAAATCATTGAATATGAAAGCGCAAAATTTTATAGTATAATACAACTTTGATGTGAACATTATTTTTAAATAAAATAAAATACTATACAAATCGAACAATAAAGCTTACAATACATTATATTAAATTTTGTTATGTTTCGTTTACCAGAGGCATAAGAAAAGGGTTTGAATCAAAAACAGTTTCTGTTGACAAAATATTCCCATAGGAAAATACCTCGGGATTAAATAAAGGCAATTTGTTTCGTATTTTTCTTGCATAACATCGTCCGAAATGGAGCCGAAATGCGATGTGACAAACCTAACAAATAAGTCAGATCTCAAGGAAATCCTTTGGGCTAAGATTTATTTTTTGGAGACAAGAGAATTTAATTGGCTGTAGATAAGAATCAAACAACTTATCCCATCAAATGCGCAAAAAAGGGGGATGTCATTTTAAAATATACACGTCGCGGAAAATTGATGGTAATTGCTGGTAGATATTTACTCTGGAATGATAAATGAGGCATATCTTCTTGCGTGACAAATTATAGCGGCGCGATTTCGGTACGTAAGCTGTCGATTTTACAGGGATTTTGTTGTGCTCGATTTTAAAATTGTTCGAGTGAGAAATATGATTTTGTATCAGGTACCTTATAGCTTTCATATTGTAAACAAATAATTTTATTTGGTATAAAAGAAGTGCTTCGCCTTTGGAATCACAGCAGCTCCATCAGATAGCCCGCCTGTCCATTTGGTGCAGTTGAACCTATCATGCCCGGCCTGTCCATATCTTAGGTTTTGGACAGTTCCGCCCCAGGAACGCTCTCACCTGATTTATCGTGACAAAGCCGAAAAGTTTGAGTTTATGATTTCACACAAAACAGTCGCCGATTTTTCGGTTTTTCCGAACGCCACACGCTCACTAATACTACCCGTGGGTTATCCCACTTCTGAACTGTAAACGAGCACTTTTATCTGTGGTCAGTTACATTAAACTTATTGGAGATTTAGGACATCTCTTGATTAAATTTTGGAACACCGCCGGAGCATTCGCCAAGCCAAATGGGACCCTTAAGTACTCATAGTGCCCATCCGGAGTCACAAACGCTGTCTTTGCCACAGAATAGCTATCCACTGGAACCTGATGGTACCCTTGCCTAAAAGTAGTAACTTTCATCATTTGCCAATCTGTCAAGTTGATCTTCCGCACTTAGTAATAGGGACCTATCCTTCGCCGTAATCGAATTTAACGCCCTGTAGTCTACGCACATGCTCATCTCGCCATTTTTCTTGGGAATCAATACAATTGGACATGCATACTAGGACTCACTCTCCTGTATTACGCCTGCGCTCATCAATTTTTGCATCCTTTCTCTCACCAAGGCCCTTTCAGCAAAAGACAAACCTCTAAGGCCTGCTACACCACTGGTTCTATTCTCATTTCGCCAAGAGTAGTTACACCCAAGTCGCCATCACTTCTAGAGAAACACTCAGCCATTTTGTCTAACAAATTTTTGCACATTATTTTCACCTATTGTTAAAGAATCTTTAATAAATTTATGTTAGCTTATTATTAATTATTATTTAACGTTGGTTTAACTACATTTGGCATCTTATCGTTGGTGACAATATTTTTAGATTTGAAGATTATTATTGTTGCCTATTGTTGATAATGTGCACAGATTTAAATAGAAAAACTCACACGCGTCAGCAGCGTGAAGATGTATTTTTCGGTACTACATAGTATGGGTCCTAAAAATAGTGGAACCATTGCGATTGAACCCGTCCGACACTAGAGGGTACCGTTGCGTGTGAAGGGCAAGCAACTTTTCTTACCCTTACCCTTTGTAGGTTACGTTTATTACTATGAAGTTAGGGGCACTATAAATAAGGTGTTGTAACTATATGTGTACTTTACACCAGGCCTTACAGAATACGTCTTGTTGTTCCATGTAAGTTTCAATTATACATCGCGATATAAACTTACGCGCTTTAAAATTTACAGTGATGTAAGACGATTTACAGAATAGGCTCATCAGGACATCTCTTCATCAAATTCAATTTTTCATTATGGATGTTTATTTAAATCCTGTATATTTTGGTATATCACATGAAATCTGCTCAGAATCAAAACTACTTCTATATCGTTATGCCTAATTGAGCCACCCTGTATACTCAAAAATATTTCCTAAAATATATAGGGTGTTCATTTGTACCACTTTTCTTGCTTTAAGCAGATCTCAGCAGTAGATCGGCATTCACTTGTCTCATATTATAAGCTCATAAATAGCAGCTCCTAGCAGATCTTTCAAGCAGGTAGAGCAAGTAAAAATGAACAGCCTAATAGTCTCATAACCAGTATAGGTTGACATATGAACTTATCAGTTTAAGACTTATAGATCGACGTGCGCTTAGCTGCGGACTCCGTATGTATATAATATTGAAAATTGAATTGACTGCTAACTGGTTAAGTTCCAACAAATTGAAGTCTGACAGTTATTTTCGATTTTAGTATTGAATTAAATAATAATATACCAAATTTGAACCATCATGACATAGTTTCAGTTACCTTTATTATACGACCGGAATATAGCCATGCTGACTCTAGAGTTGTTCGAACATAATGCTATCTGACCATGTCCATCATGTTTTTCATTTAATAAACACTGGATCACAGTAATGGATTGAAAGATTTAGCTCTCATGAAACTCTTTCATCGCGATTAATTTTTAACATTTTCGAAAGTGTGTGGGCGTAGCTTGTCACGCTACGTCACATGCTGACTCGAGTATTAGGGTCGGTTTCTCAATAGGGAGTCACCTCCGGGTTGGTTTTAACCCAGGGTAAACGTGTTCAGTTGCAATGTTAACCCTTAAGCTGGGCTCAAACCGAGGATGAGTTTCTAATGAGAAACCGGCCCTTAGACTATCCAAGATGCTGTTAAACTTAAATTAAAATATCCACCAAGAGGCACACCAATGACATTGAGGCACACAAACCCGTTGTTTGCTTGTCAAAGTCACGTGTTTTGGATAGGCTGACAATTCCCAGATGCTGTCAAACTTGAATTAAAATGTCCGCCAAGAGGCAAACAAACTCGTTGTTTACTTGTCAAAGTCACATGTTTTGGATAGGCAAAGGGCCAGTTTCTCAATAGCGAGTCACCTCCGGGTTAAGTATACCTCCAGGGTAAACATTGCAGCTGGACATGCTTACCCTGGATTTAAAACTAACCCGCAGGTGACTCGCTATTGAGAAACCGGCCCTAATAGTTATATACATCACAAATATAAGCTTATATTAAATTTTCAGAAACCTGTAGGCGCTGGCTCTCCGACTATTCACATGTGGCTAAATTCAGCTGGCAGCTGGTGTAGGAACCGTGGTGGAATGGTAGAAAAAATAGTGTTATAGCGATTTCCATTTATCGAACTAGTGCAAAAAAAATGTATCCTTATCCTTACATGTTACATGCTTTTAGAAAAAGATGCGGATACACTCAGTGCGCGCTGACTGACAAATGGAAATCGCCATTAGTAAATTAAACATGGTTTGCAGTGATTTTATTAGGTCTGTTTCTGCAAAACTCACAAACCATTCAGAGCAAATTTCATTGGTTGAAAACAGTCAGAAACAGTTAGAAAACTAGTTTCAACCAATGAAATTCACTCTGACTGGTTTGTGATTTCTGCAGAAACATACCTAAAATCACCGCACCGGTGAAATTAGCCACACGCGGTTAATAGTTGAAACATAAACAAACCTTTTGATAGTTATGTCAAAATTTTCTACACATGTCATGTCATGTCATCATATCATTTTCATTTTCAAAAAGCATGTCCAAAGGATTTTCAAAATTCCGCGGTCGACACAATATTCCGCCGATAAAACGCATTTTGTTTAAAGTCAATCCTGCCCAGCCGCCGGGTGATCCCAAAAAAGTAGATTTCGACGTCAAAAGAATACCAAAACCTCCGCAGTTCATAGAAAATGCATCTTACCAAGAACAAATGAGACGACATTCCAAGAAAGTACAAAGGACTATTGAGTCTTTACGAACTGAGGCAAACAAGCAAAACGAGTTCCCGAAAGTTCAAGATTATCCAGACGATCTAATGTAAACAAGTTCTGTGGAATGACATTAAAATAAAATAAATTCATATTAACAGTCGTTGTTCCAATCGAAGGTCGGAATTGCTTACCGCAAAAATTCAATGTAATTTCCCATTAAGGCCTCTTATTAAATTCTCTACCCTGAAAAAAAATAACTTCGCCCTTCTTGGCTGCAAATTCTAATTTCGGGATCCTAAAACGTTTCTAATAAATTATTCCTGAAATTTATTAAATATTAAAGTGGGCCCCGCCACAAGGATGTGTGAATAAATTAAATTATGGATTTTCATTTTTCGCAAAACATTCTATTTTGTAACAAACCTTGTGCAAGCAATCATATACCTACTAAAGCTGCAATTTTTATTCGCAGCTTGTTTACCTGTTGCCAGAAGTAGAGAAATATTTTCATTGTATCGTAAAACAAACATTGATTCAATCATGGATGAAAATTGAAAAACAGGCTGAAATAATGAAATATAAATAGGGACATTATACGTTTTTTGTTTCGAAAAAATGCAATAATTATTATTTAATTCGGCACACAATTAAGTTCCTTTGATAAAGAGTGAATTCGTTGCCTAATCCTGGGTTGGCTTGAAGCCAGACAACCAGGAATCCCGATGGCAAAAGCGATATGGAGCCCCCATGACCCAAAATAAAAGAAGATCGGATTCTGGTAATTGCTGCGGCGGCCTTCTTTCTGAATTCGCAGCTGGTAATTGGGTTAAATCTTAATTTACTGCCTTTTCACTGTCCCTAAAAGGGATTTAGCTTCTAGGATTCTGATTTTATACTTAGGCCTGGTTTTATCAAATAGTGGTTCGATTGGACAGTGGGAAAGATCAAGAACCATTAGAGTATTTTTGGCCTTGTCTGAAAAACGATTCGTTCGGATGCATTTTTGGAAAAACGAACGCAATTTGTCAGGACATTGTTGAATTTGAAAAGGCTTTGTTTCGTTCGTCCAAAACAATGCGCGCTGACTAATATTTAAGCCGCAACACACGTTGTGCATTTCTGCACTGATTTGTATAGGGAATCGTGCCTCCAACGTCTATCAGTTATGTAGAGCACATTCTCTACAATAAAACGCGTATTTGTTTTCGTTTTAATCTCGAATGGGTTATGCTGTCCGGGGGTCGTAGCTTTCGGATGTTTTCGTTTTTGGGAACGATTTTTCACATCACAATGGAACAACATTTTTGGCTAAATAGGAGATTGTGAAAGAAAGTTTCTTTTGTAATCCCAAAGTCCCTTTTTCAAAAATTACTTTCTTTTTTCCTTCTTCCAGTAGTTTCCAGATGTGCGGATTAAGCTTTTCCGAAGGGCTGCGGGTAATGTATGGACAGACGAGGGGTAGGCAAACGACCAAATCTATCAACAGCGAATCAAGAAAATATCTGGAGAAAATATAAGCCTTGCTGATTGACTCAATATAAAATCATCGCAATTTGATGTGCAATTCCTGCTGGAAGAAATTTCTACTAAATCATTCAACTCCTTTGCCCATCAACCTGGTCATAAACCTAATTAAAACCATTAATACTAGAAATATTCCAAAAGTAATTAGTTTGTCTATTTTTATTAAGTGCAAAGTCTAGTTTATAGCTTCTCGTAAGATCCGAAAACAAATGGGAGTCATCTGTAACCATTATTAAAGATTAATACCGCCTTCGCGCCCGTTTCTTTCTGCCAAAATGTATTCCGCTATTTTTACGGTTTTCCTCTAAAAGCAATTTGCCCAAATTCATTATTCAATTTTAATTGTTTTCAAAATTTACTTCTTAGATTTCCAATTCAAACTCTAGAGCAATCTATATAGAGCGCGTGTTTGCCTAAGGCTTTCAGATTAGCTCGTATATTGTGCGGATTTGAAACAAAAACCCCGTAATGCCGTTGGTGCTAGAAATAGACATGTCGTGTTTGATCAATTTACTACTATCTCTGTGTGTACAATGCACTCGGAAACAGAATCGAGAATTCTAATGTAATGAATTCAATAAAACGAAACAATATCGGTTTGTGTAGTCTCTAAAGCCACAGCACCAGGGGACGACAACTCGATTCGGGTCCAAAGAAAAGCTATTGAGCTCTAACCGACCAGCCAGCACGGGTTATAAATTAAGCCAATTTCGTTCATTTCTCGCGAATCCCCCAAAGACCGATATATTTTATGGATTTTGGCTAAATCTTCCGAACTGATAATGCCTAGAGCAATCCTAGCTACGACCGGTCATGGCTTTACATTGTGGTAAGTAAAGATTTAAAGCTTTTGATATACCAAAGGTTGTTTTTTCATTGTCTAATTTGAATGAAGAAAGCTTGAAATATTGTTTTCAATAATTTATAAAATGTGTGTCATAGCAAAAATGGTTATGTATTATATTTGTAAAAAATTGAAGAACCTAATTAGTACATTACTTTGTATGTGAGGAAAGCCCTTCATTTAAAACTGCTCATTTCAAAAGAATATTTTACATAGGTAATACTTTTGTTTGTTAATCTAGTACATAATAAGAATATTACATTTTTCTTGTGGCAATGGAATACATAGTTAAAATTCAAATACCGTACCTACCTATTTTTTTTTTTCCTACATAACCGTCTATTATTTCCGCACTTGGTATGCAAAGCGTAATCTCTAAATATCGCCGGTTCTTATGGATACTTTTCCAAAACGCTTCTATATGGAAATTCCAGGAGGGGGTGATAGTGTAAAATTCTAACTTTATACTGTTAGTCTTTGCATCTTTCTGCATCTACATCGCCTGCGGCTTGGCATTCTCTTAACAAGAATTTCTAGAAAAATGTTCGAGTCTTTTAGACGTGATGTAGGAAATATGTTTGAGATGTTACGCGCGAAGAGCTGTCTTATAACAGAACTGAAATAACTGAGATATTATTTCCTCCCCGGAAGTTTTCTCAGTAAAGGCACGATGAGAATTTACTTTAGGAGACATTTTTTTTTTCAAAGATAAATATTACACAAACAACTTAATCTAAAAGCTGCTCAAGTTCACATTTTTAAAAATTATTATAGCAACATTCCCAGCTTCTATGTGCTTGCGAGCTCTTAATCAAAATATTCATCTTTTATCGCGCAAGAAGCTGTTCCGTTGAAAAATATAACCCAACTATTTTAATAAAAAGCATATTTGAAGACATTTTTACGGTTATTTGTTCTGGGAATTCTTGAAAAAAATTGCGAGTTATGACGCAGACAAAGGCCATAATCTAGCGTTTCCTTTGCTGTTTAGATTCTAGACATTCTTTTTTTTTTGAATAATTATGTATGGCTGCTTTGGATTTATGCTGACGCCAGAGATTTATTATGAGGCAAAAGTTAGTCTGAGAGGCTATTCTGATGAATATATTATTATGTTCTGGCTATAAAGTATGAAAATACTGTGAAAAAATAAATAAAGCAATTTATTTGTCAGGTTAATGTTAGGTTTTTCACAAAGGGATTGGACAAAATTTGGAAATTTTTGAAGAGCGGACTCTTGTTCTAACTCATTATATAAATCTAAAATCTGTGAATAATAACTGAAATCTGCTAAATAAACCCTTAACATTAAAGCCAAGTTGACACAGGTCCATCCAAGTCCAATTGAATAGGTTCTATCATTAGACTGGCTGCCAACCTACTTGGTCCAAGTTCTCATCCGAGTGCACTTGGATTACTCACCCTTGGATGCTGCGTGCGTTTCCATTTGGACGATACTTGAATCATATCAACTGCTAAAGCCGAGTTGACATGGTCCAAGTGAGTTGCAGCCAGCCTATTTACTTGGATGTTAGGACTAGCAGACTAGTAAGCCAGCCTACTACCTTGGATGGTACCTAGGACCAATACAGTTGGACGCCCGTCCAAAGGTACTGGATCCAAGTCATTGTCCAAGTACACTTGGATCGTGTCAATCTGGCTCCATCCAAGTCCAGTTGGATAGGCCATAACACTAGGCTGGCTGCCAACTTACTTGGTCCAAGTTCTCATCAAAGTGCACTTGGACCTTGTGAACCTGGCTCTAAGAGTTGATACGATCCAGTTATCGTCCAAAGTGAAGCGCGAACAGCATTCTAGAGTACTTGATAAAAGTGTACTTTTATGAGAACTGGACCAAGTAGTTGATAGTATAACGTACTTATTTTGGCAATTGCCTAATTATACTGCTACGGCTAGTCAGCTTCAGTTCGGAGGCCATGGGTCTATGGGTTCCTTGTATACATCTTACCTTTGGGCGCCACCAAGTTAATTGTGACTTAACTAGGAAGATAACTTAATGATGTTATAAACAAAACCTGTGCAATTGGAGAGCTTATCAATAAAACAACTAATTAGATACAATAATGTATCTGGCTTCTTTATTAAAAATAATAACAAAATATAGGGATAGCCAGGAGGTTATTAAAAATGTGTTTAGAATAATGCTTGTACCAATTTATAAATATTTGATTATAAAAAAAAAATATGAATGTAAATAATGTATAAAAATATTGATTTTTAGATAAACAGTTTTAACTGTGTGTTTACACTTGTGAAAGATTAGAATCACAATATCAGTTACACTCTACCAAGAGGCAAATTCAACACCAGAAAGGTGAAAATTATTGTTAGGGCAACCTCAGGGTAAAATTCTAGAATTTTATTTAAGGGGCACTTACCGAACGTAAATCAGTATCAAGTGATTTATATAAGATTTGCCTAAATAGTAAAAAGTGCAACTTACATGTGTACAAGTGAAATGTATGTGAAAATCCAGAAGTTTCCAAAGTGAGATTATCTACAGGTTTGGTCTCACTATAGATAGGCTAAGGTATGGTAAGTGAGTCATGAGTCCTATCCACGTTGTATCCGTTCAACGTAGAACTCGACGTGGTTCTGCCAGAGTGGCACCAAGAGAGTTGCTGAAGAATGGCTACCAAAGCCCCAACTGAGAGCAATCTAGATCCAGTCTAGAATCTCTCTAAATACAGCTTAGCAACTGTCCAATTATAGTCTGAGACTAGGACTGTCCAACTATAGCCTAAGAGTAGGATTGTCCAACTATAGCCTGAGACTAGGATTGTCCAACTATAGCCTGAGACTAGGACTAGGAGTAGGATTGTCCAACTATAGCCTGACACTAGGAGTAGGAGTAGGAGTAGGACTGTCCAACTGTAGCCTGAGACTAGGACCCTATAACGATGTTCGTATAAAAAACAAATCGAGCCCCAAATATTAGAAATAATCTTACCTCAAATTGAGGGATACTCT